CAAATATGGACCAGCTAGAATATTGCCGTAAGCCACGGTTTCCTGGCTGTAAGACTCGGTAGAGATAGAACTAGTCAGAGTCTTGTTCTCGCTTTCAGGACCAGAAGTAGAGCTTTCACAGTACAGCTGTTGGGCGAGAATGCCGCTCATTTCTCTTTTTCTTTTTTCACTAGTGCGGCTATAGTGTTTCAGGCTTGTTTCACTCTTGTGGCCACTGACGCTCATGATGTCTCTCGATTGGATCCCTGCACTGTCCAATGCATTTATAGTCGTCGCACGAAGTGAGTGATTAGTGTATACTTTGCTACACCCAGCATTACGAGATATTGACTTGAGCTTGTTTCCGATAGTGTTGATTCCAAGTGGACTATTACAGTACCAAGAAGATCCATCCATAGGAGCTTTTGATTTTGGTCTTTGCCAGAGCCTTTACTGACGTAAGTCTGGAATGCCTTTATAGGGCATGAATCACTGTTTGGAATCTCGTACATTTGGCCACTGTTTGACACTTCATCTTGGTCTTCTCGATTATTCTTGGTGAGACAGTCTTTCTTTATCATGTAACTTAGGCCACTGTCGACGTCTTTCTCTATTGTAAAATCACCAGGTTTCATCCTACGAATGTTCTCCCTACCCCGATTACAAAAAAAGGTCATTATATCTATGAACACTTTATTTTGCAACCCGTAGGTTGTTGTCATGTCCAGTTCATTTGAGTTCTGCATTGTTTGCATGTCCGTTTGGCTGATCACGGGTTTATGCTGTACATTACCGTTTCCTTGTTTTTTCAAACTAACCAATATGGCCTTAAACATGCGATTAGATTGAAGAAACTTCACCTTGTCTGTAATATCCAGGCCGGCGGACTCGTCCAAATAATGTCGCTGAACTCCGTATTTTAGCGTCTGCATAGTTCTCTTTTTGTAACTTGTCCCATCCTCTTTCCGAATCCCGGCGTAGAACTTGCTCAAAAATGAATCGAGATCAGACGGATTGGCAAGATGGCTCTCTAAATTGGTGTTCGAATACTGTGCAAATCCCAGTAACTTGTCCCGTGCGAATTTTATACACTTCTTGGTGTTTCCACTATCCATCTGCCCCACCAGGTCAGCGAGTTCTTCGTCCGTGGGGACATAAAACGACTTATTCGCCATTTTTTACTTTTAGAAATGTTGATTTCTCGCGATATCTCGAAAATTTATTCCAATTCCGAAAGTCAAAACAAACACATTTACAGTTGAGTTTGATGCTTAATTATTGTAAATGTTAACATAATCGCGAGCGTGCAATATAACTTTTTTGCGCGCTTTTTTACACGGTTTGGCGTGCATTATAACAACAACAACGGCGTGTCACGTGACGCGTTTTGACCAATCATGATGCATAAAATATCCGAGCCATTTTGGGGAGAAGGGAGCTGGTGGAGGAGGAGTGGGAGAAGGGAGCTGGTGGAGGAGGAGTGGGAGAAGGGAGAAGCTGGTGGAGAAGGAGGAGGGAGAGAAGCTGGTGGAGAAGGAGGAAGGGGAGAAGGGAGAAGCTGGTGGAGAAGGGAGAAGCTGGTGGAGGAGGAACGGGAGAAGGGAGGGAGAAGGTGGTGGACGATAGGGAGAAGCTGGTGGAGAAGGAGGAGGGGGAGAAGCTGGTGGAGAAGGAGGAGGGGAGAAGGGAGCTGGTGGAGAAGAAGGAAGGGAGAAGCTGGTGGAGAAGGAGGAAGGGGAGAAAGGAGAAGCTGGTGGAGAAGGGAGCAGCTGGTGGAGGAGGAAGCGGAGAAGGGAGAAGGTGGTGGAGGAGGGGGAGAAGCTGGTGGAGAAGGAGGAAGGGGAGAAGCTGGTGGAGAAGGAGGAAGGGGAGAAGGAGGGGGAGAAGGGAGCTGGTGGAGAAGGAGGAGGGGGAGAAGCTGGTGGAGAAGGAGGAAGGGGAGAAGGAGGGGAAAATGAGAGCTGGTGGAGGAGGAGGGGGAGAAGGGGGAAGGTGGTGGAAGAGGGGGAGAAGCTGGTGGAGAAGGAGGAAGGGAGAAGCTGGTGGAGAAGGAGGAAGGGGAGAAGGGAGCTGGTGGAGGAGGAGAGGGAAAAGGAAGAAGCTGGTGGAGAAGGAGGAAGGAGAGAATCTGGTGGAGAAGGAGGAAGGGGAGAAGGGAGAAGGTGGTGGAGAAGAAGGAGGGGAGAAGCTGGTGGAGAAGGAGGAAGGGGAGAAAGAAATAGCTGGTGGAGAAGGGAGCAGCTGGTGGAGGAGGAAGCGGAGAAGAGAGAAGGTGCTGGAGGAGGGGGAGAAGCTGGTGGAGAAGGATGACGGGGAGAAGCTGGTGCAGAAGAAGGAAGGGGAGAAGAGAGAAGCTGTTGGAGAAGGAGTAAGAGGAGAAGGGAGAATCAGCCAACCCAGCCCTCCACCCTGTACATCAAGGAAATGCCGCCGCAGCACGGCACGCGCTGCACGCGTTGTACGCGCTTGCTGACGGTGTATATAATCTGTTGATCTGCGCTGCGCTGTATACGTGCCTGGGGCGGCATATTGATTAATGTACGGTGGGAGTGCAGGATTGGATGTGCACACGCACACGCGCACGCGCACGCGCCCGCACACGCACACACACACACACACACACCGTTACATTATTTGGGCGTAAGTAGCCAGTTCACTAATCTATATATATAACATTATATATTATACAGATAACGCACGGCCCGGCGTGCATCAGTGTAAATGCAGCGCGGCGCGAGGTTCACACACAATTATAACAGTATGTCTAGATAAACAGTCTAGATAAATAGTCCAGATGAGACGGGATACTAGAGAAGCGTTGCCGAAAGGAGGTGTTGATCCCAAGCGCTATAAGCGCAGATCTTGCGCGCAATTCCGCGGCAAGGTGCACGCGACCGCGGGAACGTCCTACGACAGTATGCAGCGCTGGCAGCTATGGATCCGTGCGCCGAATGAATTGGCCGACGCACGGATCCATA